GGTAAATAATCGAGCTCTCGTTTCACCCACTTCTGGATCACCACTGAACTAAAATTTTTCTCTCTTTTTTATTTTTCGGCTTGACTGACAGGGAGCACGGGCCCTCATGGGCCCCCCCACTGGATCCGCCACTAAGCAGAGTTGATTCGTCGGCAGACAGTCGTATGTTGCAGTCAGTGCCTAGCTTAACAACTACCGGTGCAAATGATGGTCCTTTAGCACACACTTTACCTTTCTTTCGATCGGGAGGGGACTGGCTCAAAGAGACAGTGTGTTGGTGTAACAAGTCCAGGCCAGTGCAAGTTGCTGAAGACGGTTTGTGCTTCTTCTTGGACTGGGTTGTCACACCTTGTTCTTTTCGTGGACGCCCACGGCCTCGGCCATTCTGAAACGTGAATAAGAATTTAATCATCATATACAATTTTTCTATTTGGATAAGTGTTTATTACTGGAAAACAGAATACATAAAATATGTATCTCCTATAGAATATATAGCGAGTCAATGATTTGTGAGTGATGTATAATGAAATGATGTAATGTAAATGTGTTTGGTGAAGAATGAAGCACAAAGGTTTATATAATGTAATGGAATTTAATTGAATTTATATATCGTTTTAAGTCTCAAAGCGCTCGAGGTTTGGATTAGCTTGTACAATAACTGGCTTCTCCCTTAAGTGTCTCTTCCTGTCTGAGCTACCCTGTAAACCAATACCAGCTATCTTTTGGCTGTCCACAACAGGGGCTGTATGGACAAATAAACCGAAGTAACCCTCTACTCATCTTGAAAGATATAATAGGTTCTTCAAAGTGCACATGAGCCAAATTGTGTACATTGTAGTTCAATAGGAATGTAGCCCAACAGGAAGGCAGTTCGTTCCCAACCTCATTGTTGGGAGTTTGATGGCTGCATACCTACTTACCTGTTTCTTTTGCTGTTTCTTTTTCTTCAGCTTCTTCCTTCTCAGTCTATCATCTTCAATATCTGTGTCCTGTGAAATAAAAATATACAATTATTATTAGTGGTTCATCTACAAGAATATCATTACTATGTCCAGTCGAATGGCCGAGCGGTTAAGGCAGGGGTGTCGCAACCTATAGGCACTGGTTCAAGTGGTGGAACAAGTCTTCTAGGATTATAAACTGTAGGCCCAATGTACACAATTGGCTCCTGTATATATTTTGAGACGAGTAGAGGGTTACCCTGCTCTACTGGTCCATACAGCCCCCGTTGTGCTGTGGTTATGGATCCTAAGAGCCTTTGAAGGATATACCTTCATAAACTTGTGAGTAACTTGCCTTTTATTTTTGAGAGTCAAATTATAAAGTGATTTTGTATTTTTATTTATTTCTTTATACTGGGGCCAAGCTAATGGCACAAGAATGAAGCTCTCAACAGCTTTCTTCAACAGCGGTATGGATGTTAAGGAAGCAAACTCGAGGATACCATTGTGTCAGATGTATGAAGATATGTATACAAAGAAAAATAAGTATTTGATATTTTATAGAATAGTTGGTGTTAATCAACGAAAAATGAAGGACTTTAAGAGAAGTAAAAACTGATAACAAAAACTGATGCAAGTTAAATGAGCACAAAAATGAAAAAATAAAACTCAATGAAGACAAACACGTCGAAGAAATATATTATTACTTTGTTGTTAGGCAAAAACTTTAAAGGTATTATAATAGAAAAATGATTTAGGGTGTTAATAACGGTCTCGTTCGGTACAGAACCGTAACGATGATGGTAGAATGTTTGCAGCCGCTTTTTTGAACTTGATCATGAGAACAATCTCACATTTATTTTTTAAAGAATGCTCAATGAAGAAACCTTTGTGAATAAAAGAAGGATGTACAGAAGTGTTCACAAATGTTTCAATGCCGTATTGCAAATGTGAGCAAAACAAACAAATCAACTGATGACAACAAAAACAATGCGGTGACAGGACTAAAAACAAACAATAAAAAAAACAAAAGCATAATCTAATGGCAAAAAAAGAAGAAAAAATAAAAATGGGAAAATCGGATACTTTTTTCCCTATACAACCTTCTGTGATTTGGACGATACATTCTTTGATATTTTCTGAGCGGCTTTTTTACTAGAGTGTTTTTCATGCATCGTTTTATTTACATTTTCCTTTCCATCACATGTTATCTCGGTCCACTGGCGACGTGTGGTTGGACCACCACTCATCGACTCATTCTCGCTGGATTGACTGAAGTCGATGCTTTTCGCCACATTGAATTCATCCTTTTCTCTTCTTTTTAAACTTGTTCGATACTTTTGGTATTCCTCCTCCTGGTAAACAAAACAATAAATTATATTATTAAATAATAAATTGGCTTATTAATTAATTAAATCAAATGGAGATTTGTTTAGGTATATTTAGTGCAACATACAGAATTTGACAATAGAATAAATACTAACGGTCATAGGTAGGACATATGTGCTGTAGGAGGAAAAACAACAACTTTTTAAACATAGATGGTTGATTGCAGACTTGAATTGTATTAAATAAGCCACAAATTCATCATCATCCTGTATAGAATGAATGTTGTGAAGTTAATAAACCAGGTCTAAACTAAGTGGTTTAAGAAGTTGAGTTGTTTTAGTTGAGGATTTGGGAAATCGACAACGCTAAAGTTCTACTTCTACATTGACTTAAATACTATTATACTTACACGGACTTGAGGATCTGTTAAACTTTTGAAATACCTTTCTAACTGAAAACCAGAAGAGAGTGGGCTTACATTAAAATTCAAGTAAATACACAAAATGAAACATTCATTTATGCATTCTGATACATTCAAATCATAATACTTAATACATTGCTTATACTTAATAATTAAAATACAAGTTTTAAAATAGAGAGATAAGTAACATATTTACAGTATGTAGAAACTTGCTACATATTTCCAATTTTCTTTTTAAAGCGCTGTTCAGGCTATCAAATCTTATTTCACAAAAACATGTGATATGCCTAAATATGGTCATGATGACATCACATCATGAACATATATAGGCACATCATGACTATATATGGGCATACAACAGTTTTTTTTGTCCAATAAAATTTGATAGTATGAACAGAGCTTTACTTACGATTGTTCTGTCAATTGTGTGTAGGAAATAGGAGACAGGTTTGCCAGTCCATGACACAGAGCCTCTTAGAGGTGAAAGTTCAACCACACGCATAATGCTACCAATATCTGAAATGCGAGAAACTTTGTCAATTATCATAAGAACATAGCGCAACAAGAGTGTTCTTTTCTATTATGGGGGCATTCTCATGAGTGGGAAATTGATAACCTAAGTTTGCAAATCTAGCAGAAGACTTATTGTTAATTAAATTTACAGGTCTTCCTCCAATTGAAGACCAGGATCAGGGTTTCCATGGTCTTTAGCAGCTTTGGTCTCTAATTAGAATAATAAACATAAAAGACAAAGTGGTCTTTAAATGTAGGGGTCTTAAATTAGAGGGAGGCCTGTATTTATTTTCCACATTCATTATAGACTCATGTACCATGCCTTATTAAGGCAATGGTGACCATGAATCTCAACACATCCCCTTGGTTTTTGCCTAATATCATTCAGGGATATCTCAACCTTGCAAACAAGCTCTTTACATATGTTGCATTTTGTATTCCTGCCTCTTTCCTTAAATCTTTCTATATACTGCTGCTATATTTTTTATCACTCATTTAAAGCCAAAAAAGTTCACTTTTTCATCAACTTGGCATTCATCAATTTTCCACTCCCTCTAAGACCTTGTAATTTGATGTACAACTTGGTCATATGACATTTTTATTGTCTGCTGTAGGAATTACATTTCAACAGCCTTCAGTTTTTCAAAACATTTACAGTATTTAAATCATTCACCATTCTGATACGCAAGTCAGAATCATTCACATAAATTTCGAGAATCTTACCACTAAGGTTGCGATCTGTTATTCTGAAATTAAGCGGGCAGAATGCCTTCGAGGAGACTACAACAGCACCTTCTTTCATGTTGGCAAATCTTTCTTTCAACTGTTGAGAAGAGGGGGAAAAAAGGAATATCATTAGTAGTAAAGTGTTTTCATATTGTACAAATTACATCACTAGTACTATCTAAGTGTTTTCTGACATAAAGATAAATAATGAAACAACATTTTTGAATTTCATAACTTTTATAGGCATTATTATTATTATAGGCATCTGACATCCTTGCCATTACTATGGCCTTCATCAGTAACATTGATATACTAAAATTATTATTTTTTGGAAAAAAACATTATCTTGATTTGAAGCCAAGTAAATCTAGGCTAAGCCAAGGTGAGCCTTTTAACATGGCCTTATAGCTCAGTTGGTAGAGTAACCAAATGGTAATCTTGTCTTGGGCCCCAAGGGGCTATCTGTTTTTCACTTTATAGAATTTGGTTATACTGTTTTCAATTGATAAACATTATCCTCATCTCTAAGACGTTAGAATTTAGTTGATACTATTTCTTTTCATATTGACAAGTATTTGAGTATCAGATTTCATAGGGTGGGGCGTAGAGGAACAGCACATTACTGAACTACTTCCTCAAAGGTAAGTGATGTCATGTCCCACTTACTTGATGATCCACACTTGGTCCGAAGGCGAAGTTATTCACAAACACCACTGAAGCTTTGGCAACTCGATCAATCATATCATCGTTAAGGAAGTCTCCTTTCTCGACCATAAACGGGCTGTAGTCCTTGCCATACCACTTCATCCAGCGTCTGAACTCAACTTGCATTTTCTTTAAAAATAATAACAATAAACACGATAACGAACTAGCTCAGTCGGCTAATCTGGTGGTAGCCGCTGTGTGTGCGCTGAACCGTGGAGATCTCTAGGTTCCCGGTTCAATTCCCATCGCTGCCTCTCCTTGTGTTTCAGCTAGAGGGCTGAAATACAAGTTACAATAGCGCACCGTCTTTCGGATGAGACGTTTAAGCCGTTGGCCCCGTGTACATTATGGTCCATGTGCACGTTAAAGAACGCAGTACACTCTTCGGAAAAGAGTTGGGGATTGTCTCCCGGTGTACTGCCCAATCACCACCAGACAGACCCCACTGGAAATAAGTCTTCTTCTAGACTTTCGTGGGCTATCCTTGGTGTTTACACCGAATAAATCCAATCCAATCCAATGGCTCTATTTCATACAATGTGCGATATAAATCACTATTATGAAAATCTCCATTACTGTACATAATTTGCTATAAATTTATAACTTGATTAAAATAGATCACTATAGATTATTTAAACTGCGAATTAAATATTTAGCATGAATTACATAAATATACAATATTACTGTTAAATATGTAAATAAATATGTATTATCTAAATGACTGAGCAATATGCAAATACTCACTTCTGCATATTCAGCAGGTACATCAGCTTTTTCTATACCATAAGCCAGCTTGCAGTTAGTAGCTGAAGCCACCTGGAGAACCACCTGGCTCACTCCTGTTGTCAGAGAAAAGAGATAAATATATAAAGGAGAGAGAAAGTAACACTGCATAAGGACATTTGCATGTAGTACGATAGTATGGGTTAATTTTATATACAGTTACAAATAAAATAATAACCTCATCTAATAAGAAGATGCTGATGCGTAATGATAATGGTATGATAAGTGTAGAGTAGGTTTGCTGGGCTCCAGTAGGTTCCACCTTGGATAAGTGTAGGCTCTACTACTACCGTACACTGTTAAGGTGGCGATGCCGGCTCAAGTAAGGGAGTTGCGACTTTTAGGTAAAAAAACCTTAAACTAATTCAAAGCCTTGAACTACAGTTTTGTGAGGGTTGTGGTGGGTTGCATCCCCCTCAAATGCCCCATTCAGGAATGCACTGAAGGATACAGCTGTCACTGCTTTCAGTGGTAATCTGTTTCAATCTTGCTCAGGAACTTGAAGGTATTACTATTGCCTGGACTGGGATGATATTTCAAGGGATGATTTGACAAAATAAATGCTACTGTAGAATCTATATCAAATTGAGATAAACCAGGACCTTATGAAGTGTAAATGACTTAAATAAAGAGATTAATAACTTACCACTTCCAAGGTCAATAAAGTTATCTTCTGGGTTTAGATTTACCTCCTCAATCATCTGGGCTACAAGATCATATGAAGTTTCGCCATAGACCTGTTGGTTATGTATTTATTTTTTAGGGAAAGTAAATAAAAATGTACCAGTTAAAATGAGGTTCTCACTTCAAATAATGTAGAATGTCAATTGGTGATAAATCAAAATTTGAAACCAATAGTAGTTAAAATGGTAAACACCTTACTTTTGATACATAAGATACATTATGAGCTACAGTACAATGTAAATCTAATAAAAATTTTTAAGGTGCTGATAATTGTAAAACTGAGTGAAAGTAAAATATTGAACATGATACCAAAAGAAATGTTGAAAATATGCTCATGAAGATAATGACTATGATTCTGATGATGATGAAAATAATAATGATGATGATACTGATGATAGTTGGTGATAACAATAATGATGGTTATGGCGACAATGATGCTGGGTGATAGTGATGAGTGATAATGAATGACCTACAACTTTTAAACAGCTTACAATTTGGGTATAATCATGCACATACCTCAGGTGAGAAAGGTTCATAGCAGTTAAGTTTGTCTGGATCCACAATGGCATGGTTGTATACCTGTTGTAGAATATGTTTCAGGAGATCTGTTGATGCACGTTTAGGGGGCAAGTTAGCACATGTAGTCCCTTTCCTCTGTCAAAATCAACATATAAATTATAATTTTAAAAAATCATCATATTTTATTTTACACAATGAAAATTGATTAAATACCATTTTTTTTATTTCTAAAAAAATTTGGCTTTCACCCACAGTATGTCCTGAAATTTGAATGTCTATAAATTGTTATAAAAACTCAGTAAATAATATATTTATAAATTTGCATACAATGATTTACAAATTAGAAAAAACACGAAGATGGATATGATAACACAAAGGTTAAGTGGGAGGGCTAGATAATAAAGTAAGGGGGCACTAGCTGACAAAATAAGGTGGTATGAGTGATTTTTAACTACTTCATAGTTAAATATTTTTGCTTCAAAATTTTCAGTGGGGGAGACTTGAAGGGTGCAAACTTTTTTTTGGGAAGCCATTCACTCCCACGCACCATCCCCCTAGAAACGCTACTGATAATATACACTTATAATAATAATACCTGATATAATTACTGGAGAATATACTGTACTGTATGGTGTATAAATATATATCACAATATTTGATTATGACATTCCTGATGATGACATAATTAATGTCGAAATATTGAATCCCAACACGATGGCGTGTATTTCAATACTTGGAGTATGTATTATACTTTCTAATATTTGATTAGGTACTATTATTTAATCACTGAACTGTGAACTTTGGCATGTCATCCATATTGTTTTTATTATTATGGTTTTGTACAATAATGTTCCCAGGCTATACTTTGAAAGGAGGAAATGGTTTTGAATCCTGATGATTAGCTAGACAACTGTAGTATAAACATTACATTATCCTAGAGAGGAACTTCAAATAGTTTTACTTTAGCATTAAGAAAAACAAAAACTTTAACTTTCATTTTCTGTATAACAAATAAAATATTCATTCATCCATGTTCTCACCATTAGTATTCGCTGAACTAAAGGAACCTTACACTTCATTAACACCACACTATTAGTATTAGCAATACCTATGACATGCTTCCTAGTGTTGCCTGTACTTGGAACATAGTAATCTCGTCATGTCCAGGAGCCAATGTTAAATAAAGTCACTAGCATGAAACATAATTTCAGGTAAACCATTAATAATGGACATGAGAGTAGCTAATGTGTGTACATTAGATACACTACACTTATGTTTATGATTATAAGCAAAGGTCAATTTTGTACAGGATCTCAAAATAAAAAAAACAATAATTATATAATTTTGTTTTTTCAAAACCATTATGCAAATTCCTACAATAACATTCAGCCTTGTTTTGTGTTAATCCTCATAAAAAAAAAAGTGTTTATTTCATTTCTTTATTCTGTTCTGAATATGAACCTAAAGCAAAGACGATAAGAAACATCATATTCAAGGGATAAAAAACACAACAAAGTACTGAAATTGGCAACTTATTTCCATTGTGGTCCTTACGTAGTAAAAAACACAGATACAGTAAAAATACGACCAAATAAAAAAGTAAATAAACATCTCTAATGGAGAGTGGTAATCTACTCCATGTATTTTCATAGTCATCAGTACAGTTGATCCAGTGTTTACTCTGTGCCAGATGTTTTATTAGCAATGATTTGTCTGACCTTTGTCCTCATTCTAAGCACTGACCTTATTCTATAAATATTAGTAATTAGGCTATGGTCAAGGGCAGTCAGCTATATCAGTGCTAAGCTGAAGTGTAGTAACATGTGTGTATCTTTATCTTTATACATACATTTTCATGCATGCACACATTATTTTAATGACAAATTTTTTATTGGCCATTTACTTTTACATTTCATATTGTTATTCTCACACAATACAGATAAAAAAAAAATTTAAATTTATTTATATACAATATTGTCTTTGTTTCAGATATGAAGCAATTCTTTCCCATGTAATCAGCACAAGATCAGCCACCCCATCAGGTAGCTATTGTTAAAACTCCTGGGTGGAGTGAAGCAATGCAGACAAATGGGGGATTGAAACCAAGGCAATTCAACAAAAGGACGCACATCTCGGGACATCAAAGAATATAACTCTGGCATCGACATTCTACGCACCTCGCGCCGCTACACGCTATTGTCACAAAAACCATAGCAAAAAATACCATAACTAACCGTTATAAAAATCATAAATTTTCATTTGCTATAACTTTTCATTTTGTTTTGTCAACTTTCACAAATGAAATTGAAGCACTTAACAAGCTGATGGTCAAACGAAATCAGATGTAACAGACACTGCGAAGTACCCAAAATTAATAAAATAGTAACTAACACCATAAAACGTATGGCACGCTAAGACTAATAATTGACGGCTGTACTCACAACTAGTACAGATCAAAGGACTGTACGCACTCGCTAGGTTCGCGAGCTGAGATGAGCGTCCTTTTGTTGAATTGCCGTGTTGAAAGAAACCCACACCTTGAGGATGGGAAACCAATCCGTTCCCATTGCGCCAAAATACAGTACTTCTACAATTTAAGACTACAAGAAAAGACTTCTTCCCCATTTATTATAGGAAACTTACCAATTGAAGGATAGCATCAATGGCACGGTTATAGCGTTCACAGAGGCTGTGCATACTCTCATAGCTGTGGAAGACATCAAGAAAAACTATCATCAATGTATGTAAAATCAGTATTGTCTTATTCAACAATGCAAAGTAGTACTCATCTAAACTTTTTTTAAAGAGGAAGGAGCCCCTCAATCCTGTTTTTAAAATGGCCATCAGCTTTTTCAGATCAAAGCGATGTGGTGGGAATGATCCCTTGTATGTTGTTACTTGATTAAAATAATTAAAATAATAGACTATTTATTAAATCATCATCATTATCATCATCATTATCATCATCATAATCCTTTGGCTGCTGGCAACATACTTTGGGCAAGCAGGGCAGAGGCGCTGTCTGCCATTGCGCTACCAAAATGTCACGTATACAAGTTTGGTATTTTGTGATAGGGCGACTGAAAATGCAAGTGGCAACAGCAAACCTATTTGTTGGATGGATGGGGGTCATTCTCGCTTAACTTTACAGTACTGCAGATTCACCACAAAATCCATATCAACATTTTTTGGCTATTTCTTGCTCATATCATAATCTATTAACTATAATTATCCCTCTTAAAATCTCCTTATTTGGGAATATCAAGGAGACATTTGACCTTTTGTGCCATTTATAAATAAATAATCTCATGAAAGATAAAAATTGAATTGGTATACACAATGAGCTATCAGCTATTTTAGGAATTATTATCACAGGACCTGTACTGTGTACTACTGTATACCATACACCACCATAGGAGGGGATTATAAAAATGAACAAGTCTGAACAAATGAATAAATAAGCCATATTTGATATCTAATAGATTATCAATATTACTGTAAGTCCTGTGACTATGATCATTTACTAATGTACTTTCAGACGAAATTTGCATGTTGTATCTATTTATAGATTAGAAAAAAAGCATGGAGTTCACAGATGAGGGGATATAGTACCAACTGCCCCACATCTGCAACATAATAATAATACTCAAAATTTTGTTTGCACCGGTATCCGTCTGAAAAGATGCTCATGGCGTATCGACACAAACAGTATCCTTTGAACTCCTGAGAGGAGGAAGAGGGGCCCATGCCACTGTTCTCACTGCAAGTGTTAAATCAACATTTTATGAGAGTTGTAACAGTGTTTGTATAGGTTAAATTTTATGGATTTATTTTTGTGATGAATCATAACTCCTGAGAGGAGAAAGGGTGCCATGTCTCGGGGCCCATATGTCTGTTCCCACTGCAAGTGTTACTGATTATCAAACACCAGATAATAATAGCATAGAAATAGAAGCAAACAACATCATTTCACATAAGTACTGTAATCAACATTTTATGAGTTATAACAGTGTACGTATAGGTTAAATTTTATGGATTTATTATTGTGATGTATCATAATACAATAAGTTTGATACAAATTTTGTATTGTTCCATTGATAAGGCAGTACACTTATCGGAAAAGAGTAGGGGATTGTCCCCCGGTGTACTGCCCAATCACCACCAGAAGGACCCAACTGGAAATAAGTCTTCTTCTAAACTTTCGTGGGCTATCCTTGGTGTTTACACCGAATAAATCCAATCCAATCCAACTACCATATATAATTTCAACTCCACACTATACTGTACCAGTTCAAAATGTTCAATACATTTTATTTTTATACATTTTTATTCAGTTCATAAAGCATATTTCTTGCCACCAATCATTTCCAATTTAAATATGATGTTAAATAGTTTCCCAGGTGGTTTTCAAAAATAACTACACTCCCTAGCCTCATAACAATAATGGCTACAGTAACTTTACAGAGCTCCACATATTCATCCTGTAAGTAATTAGCAAGTGACATGCTGTGGGCTTCGATGCGAGACATTTTTTTTTAAACCTCCCTAGAAACAACAATTATTTCCTATGATTTCACTGAGGAAGGGGGAAGGAGGCAATAATTAGACATAATAACCAATTAGCAAAAAAAAGGATGTAAAATTTTGGAATTTGCATTTGCAGTATTAATCATTCATTAAAACTTGCTTAATTCAAATTTAATAATACATATTATTTTCCAAAAGGAAAGTGGCATAAATTAAAAGGCAATTTGTTCTTCCTTGTCAAGTATAAAAATATGCCTTCTTTAACCTGTAATATTAATAACAATGAGAAGATTGGTCCAATAATATATGACTACACATCACATGGCTACTGTATATATTGTGTTAATGGTTCAAATCGCACCTACACACCTTTTTTTTTAGATTGTAATGTATCAAAGCCTATAATACAGATGAATATCCACATTCAAGACAACAAAACCAACTGCAATATCAACAGTGTGCCTCACAAAGAAACTTGGGTAGGGTCCCAATTATTAACAGGGTTGATCACCCTTGCTTAACATGCTATTACAGTGCATCCTTCTAATTCAGAGACCCCACTAATTCGAGACCATTTTTCCGAAGGCCCAAATAACAATCTTCAACCTTTTAACACAAAGTTAGTCCCCGAGATCACCCCAAATTTTGAGGTCCCAAAGGTGTTCTTGAATTGGAGGGCGAACTGTACCTATAATACAGTACAATATCTCGAGTACAACTTTATACATTCTAGTGTCCACCTATCTACAATGATTACTTGTTAAATACTTAATACTTTTTGGTAAACACATACCAATGTCGACTATGCATATTAGATTATGCTACAATTTTCATAAACAAATACTCAATACAGGGGTTTATTAATATTAGATCAAAATTATTATATTATTTGACCTGATCCTGATCCCATTAAGCTAGCTGAAAGCTAATAAAATCACTCACCAACTGCAGAATTGTCAGGGTAGCTACTATAAATCACAAGCCTTATGACTGCACTAGATTTAATTCATAATTACAAATAATGCAAGGAACCATCACACAAATACTAAAGAACACTATATTCTTCTTATACTGAATTGATCCCAAAATAGGTACAGAATTATATAAAGATGATAAAGTAGTTGTATTAAATATCACGATATATTAGTTCACTCTTTATTCAATAAAAAAAAAAGAACAATAATACAGTTAACAATAAAATGAGTAATAATAATAAAGTAATAAGATATTACAATAATAAGATTTTATTAAAAAGCTATGCCATGTATAAAAGCAAGTTTATACAGTAGATTCTGAAAATGATCATTTTAAAAAGGCTGCATCTAAAATTCATTCAATTTGAATTTAACATTCAATTTGAATTTAACATTAAATAACAACTGACCCATAAATGCACTATGAACATGAATCATTAATGCTTACGTCATGAATGAACTTAAGGTGGCTATTAAGTACAGACATCATTACTGTGACGAATGTATAAGCATCAACCGAATCATGAGATCAGCTGATGACACTCGCCACCATGGTTACCACAGTAACAGATTCCTGGTACAATACTATAACTCTTATGTGGGTGGATTTACGCCATCTGATGCGTGTTTGATGATTACCAATTACATCATTTGTGCTTTTTTTCACCCTAAATGTATTTTTTATGTTTTAATTTCCATGTGATTTTTTTACAACAGTTTTGGAAGATGAAGTTAGAATACTGTAGTAGTAGAATATGTGGAGCAGTTAATATGTCCCTTTCTCTTCATTCATGTACTGTATGAATACTGTTTACTTATAGTTCATCTGATGAAGCTAGCAAAAGTGTTTCAATAAATTTGGTTTGTCAAAAGAAGGTGCTACTGAAAATAGTTTATGTATTTCATATTACTGACTAAGGCCAAAAAAAAAAATAGTTTGCTTGCCCTCCTCCACCTGCCTCTAATTCACTGAAACAAATAGGTGTGGAAGAACAAAAAAAACTTAATTTTTATTTTTTAAGCTTTTTTCCTTTACAAATAAAAAAAAAATGAGTGAATTTTTTGTTTTTTGCCAGATGCCCTACAAATTAGTCTAAAGTTGTCTGATGAAAGATATTGCCATTCTAGACCTCTGCGGGTTATTTTTATTCCATTTGATGATTTAAAAAAAAAATAAAAAAATAAAAATGTTTTCCACCTGCTCCTATTTATCATTCTGAAAAAAAAGAAGGGCAAACAAACAATTAATTTCATTTGGCCTAGTACAGCTTCAACTTTATAATTCATTCATGGTATTTTACCTTTTAAATAAATCATAGGGTAAAGATACCGTATAGTTTATATGTCTGCTGCATAAGCAGATATAGGCAATACTCATAGTAAAAAAAGTAATGATGTACAAAATAATGAATGACTTGACTCCCCATTATTTAAGAATTAAATTTTCACAAAGGCAATCAGCATATAATACTAGATCTACAAATAACCTATACATAGATAAACCTAATACAGAGTATAAAAAAAAGAGTTTGGCATATCGTGGTGCTTACTTGTGGAACAATATTGATGAGACCTCAAAAAATAGTACCACTCTTAAAATTTTTAAAAAGTTAATTTCAACATAATTTTTTAAGCGTACAGTTTTTTTTTGGTATCTTTGTATCTAGTATCTTTGTTTCTTCCTTATCTATTATTTGTATTTGTAAGTAGTTCTTGTTTGATTTCATGATCTGATACCATATGTTAAAGGTACATATACGGCCTCATTTAAGAACACCTCCTTGGTGAACGAGCTTCCGTTGTAAAAGAAAGATCTTATTATTATTATTATTATTATTATATAGTCACAGGTCTAAAATAGTGATAATTTAGGTGTATTGCTAAACCCTGCAAACCTCCAAAAAAAAACAGTGCAAACCCCATCCAAACCTTGTGATAGTGATTGAATCATGTAGTATAGGACACACTTGGTATCTCAGTAAAAAAAAAGGGGGTGGGGACAGTCCCAAATTTTTTTAAATGGAAAAAGAAATAGAAAATTATGTTCAAATTTAAGTCTGAGAGTGCAATTTCCAGCTACCTAGGTGTCATAATAATAAATGTTCTTACTTCAGCCCCCAACCTTGGTGGGCCTGAAGTGGTCTAGACTAGAAATCTGTGAAAGTCCCTCCTTGGCCCTCTATTTCAAATTCCTTGATCCGCCACT